CAGCCCTTGAGGGTGAGGACAGTATCTTCTTATTCTCTGTACACTAGGACTGGGACCATGCCTGGCCCCCTGGAGAGGTGCCACAAATGTCTTTTCCTTTCCCTTCTCCTCCCATCCCAGGTAGGGTGCCTGGAACATTCCGGGCAGGTAGAAATCAGTCCTGCTTTTGAAGGGCTTCCGAGAAAGGAATTTATGATCACAGGAACAGTACTACTCAATCTATAGAGTTCTTCCTAATATATAATCTAAATCCTTCCAATTTCAGGACAAATTCTGTTGTATTAGGATAGCAGGCATGAGAAAATTAGACTTTAGAAATTTTATTATTGCTATAAAGTTTTGAACCGCCATAGGCTTTTTGCTGCTGTCTGTAGCTAGAGGTACAAAAAGACGACAAGGGCACCAAGAAGTCAAAAGAGACTGGGCACGGTGGCTCACGCCTGTGATCCCAGCACTTTGGGAGGCCTAGGCCAGTGGATCACTTGAGGTCAGGAGTTCAAGACCAGCCTGGCCAACATAGTGAAACCCGTCTCTACCAAAAAATACAAAAATTAGCTGGATGTGGTGGCACGGGCATGTAGTCCCAGGCATCGGGAGACTGAGGCAGGAGAATCGCTTGAACCTGGGAGGTGGAAGCTGCAGTGAGAGGAGGTCACACTAAGGTACTCCAGCCACGGCAATAGAGTGAGACCCTGTCTCAAAAAAAAAAAAAGAAGTCAAAAGAACCATGTAAGCATTAAGACTGGATCAAACTCTTCTCCTCACAGAAACAATTATCTCGTACCTTCCCTTTTGCAGGGCCAGAGGCTCAGTTCCTTAACTCCAATTGCACAGTACACTTTCATTTATAGAGTATTTATGTTAGACTCAAAGAAGAACTTCCCGCAGCAAGCGGTCCTAAAGCTTGAAATGAATGGCTGAAGGAAGCTATGAAATCTTTTTTCTTGCAGGCCTTTTAAATAATATATAGTTCTTTAAAAGATACATCAAAGACTTTCTTGATATAGCCTTGCCCAGGGGCGAGGGGATGGACCAGCTGACCACTCCCTCCCAACCCTGGGATTCCAACGAAGCCTGAGAAGTTTTCTCCTTTTAAGGGGTTTCCTCTTTCATCTGAAGCTGATTGGTGACAGAATCAGGTGTTCCCAGGCCACACAGTAGGTAAGTGAAGGCGGCTCCACCTGCTGAATCAAGGGAGGTTGCCAGGAAGGGAACATCTTTGAGGTGCCTCATGGGAGGAGCCTGGGAGGAGGCTTGGGGTTGGCCTGTGGGTGCGTGTGGGAGGAGGGACTCCGGGGGGGCTTTCAGGCATGCCTGGTCTGACAGGGCCAAGCAGGAAGAGGTAGAAGTTGCCTCTGCTCCATAGGAATCCTTCTCTGGAAGCCACACCTGCCAACTCTTCTTACCTTCTAAAGCTTACAAGGGATGAGGTAGGGGCAGGCAGCCAGTCGCATCTCACCACCACCTGGTATAGGGAGAAATGCTGTAGCAGGAAGACTTTAAGCTAGACCACAGGGAGAACAGGATGAGATGTGGGAGGAGTGACTGGAGTGGGAGGTTTCATGGGCTCCCTTTCTTTCAAGGCCTTTAAAAGTGAAGAGACCTCTCTGCCACAGCAGTGCAGATGATGGCCTTTGGGGGCTTTTTGCCAAGTTGCACAGGACACATGGGCTCTCAGGGCCATTAGGAAATGCCCTCTTATGGAACCTATGCAACTGAGTTTGAGACTGGAGAGGGGCAGGACTCCAGCAGATGGGGTTGCCTGTAGTCAGGTCCTGAGCAAGGGCCTGGGGAGCTTTGGGAGCAATCATCTTCCTGTGAGGTGTGCTGTACCCATCCAGACCTCAGTGCTTCAGGGGTGGGAATCCTCTTCTTTGGTTCAGCTCCAGGAGGGATGTTGGGGTGGTGGGACAAGGGCTTGGGGACCAGCCCTGAAGGGACAATGGTTTGCTTCTTTTCAGCTCCTGGCTTCTGGGATCTCCAGGAGACTCTACCTTCTGCTAGGTATTTGGGTAGAGCAGTCCCTCAAGGGAGGAGGGGCCCTGCACCCTGGCCTAGGAGAACCAAAAGACCAGTCAACCAACACCCACTGAGAATTCAGCTGAATAAATATCTGCTGAGTCAAGTCAAACACTGTCTCTGTGTAGCCAGGGAGGCCACTTATGTGCATGGAAAACGAGCCATGCTCATCCTGGTTGGAGAGACGGGTCTCTCTCAGCACATGCTGGTTCCTCCCTCCTCTGAGCAACCCAAGGCCCTCACACATATTTCTCTCATTCACTGTTCATTTCAAACTCAAGTGATTTGCTTACTGATCTCTTCTCCCATTAAACTATGAACTCCCCAAGGGCATGATCTGGGACTCCTTCTTGTCCGTATGATCAGTCCCTTGCCTAACCCTGGCCCATGGTAGGATGCTCAATAAGTATGTGTGAATGAATGAATAATTAACAACACCAGGTGGGCTGAGCTAAATGCTTCCTAAGTAGGACAGACAGGGATAGATAGATGTTACAGGGGTTGAATAGGGGCAGTGGTCACTGGGCTTGGGTTAGGGAAAGCCTCCTGGAAGAGAAATTCGCCTCATCTTTCCTTTGCCTTGAATCTCTTGAACCTGTTCCCCTGACATCCTCCAGCATCCATCTTTCTATCCTCCGTCTTATAAGATGTCTTCCACTTTGATCATCCACTAGTCCTCCAGCGATGCATTGGAGCAGGCTCACACTGGCTCGGGAGAGCTGACTGTGTGCATCTCTTTCCAGTGCTCTTCACACTGGTAGCTTGAGACTGACTAGGGTGAAATTTTCAAATGCTACAAACCAGTGCTTTTTTGCCTGAAAGAGTCCATTCCTAAACTTTTTATCAGCACACTCTTGCAATCCACTCACTCACCTAGTTACTGCCTATCTGAGATCTCCTTCCTTCCTTACTCTTCCCTTCTCTTTCCTCTCTCCTTCCCATGTATCATCCTTTCTCTCTCCTTCCCTTCTTTTTTAAATTCTTTGACACAATTCTTCAACTATGTGTCCATCCATCCATTTTCTAATTCATATTCATCTAGTTTTTACTTATTTCATTCACCCATCCATCTACCCATCCATCCATTCATCCATTTGTTCATCATCCAACCACCCACTTATCCATTATCTACACATCTTATCCATCTGTTAATTTATTTCCCCATTCATATTCATCTAGCTTTAACTTCCATCCATCCATCCATCAATCCATCCATCCATCCATCCATCCGTCTGTCCATTCACGCACCCACAAATATTATCTGAACATCTACTCTGTGTCAGCCTATTCCTAAGGCTCAGAATCTTTCCCCAGATTTCTGGAAGATGGGTGCATGAACTCTAAGAACTAGCAGAGGCCCTCCAGGGTGCCCCCAGGCTCATCCAGCATTGATGTTGAACTGTAACCAGAACCAGATGACTTTCCTCTTCTGTTTCTTCGTGTTCTCTCTGTTCTTTTCTCCTCACCGCCTGTTCTCTCCAGGTTAGGGAAACACTATCAGGGAAAGTGGGAGGGATATGTCCCAATCCAGTAGGCCAGGACAGGACTTGCCTCTCTCCTTCTCCCTCCATACCTCAGGCAAGAGCCCAGAGAAATTGGGCCTGGCATTTTGAGAAAGTGTTCCCCTCCCCAGAAGGCCCAATGAGCTCTAAGCCAATTCACCAGTGAGTTCAAACAAGAGGGGGCTCCTTTGGGGCCCACAGACAGAGATCTCAGGCAAGAGGAGAATCCCCGTCATGAAGCCAGGACTCCCCACGCCAACACCACCCCACATACATTCTCTCAGAACTGAACTGCTTTGTGAGCTGAGCTTATTTCTGCCCTTGCTCCCAGGGGCTGTTTTTGCAAAGGATTAGCTGCTCAGCCTGGTGAGGCAAAGGGGCGGGGGCTTCCTAGCTTGACCTGGATTGGAGGGGAAGGAAGGGAAACCCACTCTCCTCCACACAGCCCAGAACTTGCCATGCCAGCCTCACCTACTGTCTGCTCTGCCCTGCCCAGCCTGGCCTTGGAGAGGCACAGCCCTTTCCTTGGGGGTTTGCAGGCTTCCCAGGACCAGGCCAGTGGGTTAGAGCCCAGAAGTGACTGTGGAGCATGTTCCACAAGAGCTGAGGGTCCCTGGTGTTTCGCAGGGGCTAGGGAGAGGAGGGGATGAAGTTTGTTTTTCTCATTTTTCTTCCGGAGGTCTGTATTTATATGATAGTCATATTTGAACAGGTGACTTCTGAGATTATCTGAATCTCATACTTTGCTGGCCTCTTTTTGGAGGGCATTGCCTGTGGCCTGACCCAGAGAGGATGGGCAGATGTTTTCTGAGTCACACAGCAGATCAAGTGTGGAGACAGGTGAGAGTCAAGTGTTTGGGCTCTGAGGACCCAACCACCTGGCTTGGCATTGCTTGGATTCCCCTCATTGTTGTGCCTCGGTCCTTTGAATCCACACAGGGTCTGACCTGCTCTGATAGCAATAACCTAAAGTCTATATGTATCTTGTTAGGGTCAATGGGAGAGGACAGACTCTCAGAAGCCATCTTCCGGTGAGATATTCAGGTTACTCCATGACCCCTCAGCTGAAGAAGGGGCTTTGGCTTCTAAAAGGCTTAGGGTTCAAATCTCAGCTCTGCCACTTGACTTAGGCCAGTGAGTTATCTTCTTAAAGGCCCAGTTTTCTCATCTACTAAAAGGGGGTAATTGAACAGGTTTTAGGGAAGCTCGAATGAGCTCGTATATATGCAATACCTAGAAAAGTGCCTGGAGGTTGGCAAGTAGGGTTCAATAATCAGTAGCCAAATCAAACGGAACCCATCCTTTCCCCCTTAACGTGAAAAGCAGCGTTACAGTCCCAGGGTGGACAATCTTTCCTCTGAAACTCAGGCCTGCAAATTACAAGGCTATTTGACTTGTGTGACCCAGTTAACAGGCCTGTGTCCCTTAGGCCTCTGCAGACACCTCACCTTCTGCCCCAGGGGCCTCTGGGCGCAGTGAAGCCTGCCCACCTGTGAAGACAGAGACTCCCGCCTCCCTGGATGAGAAGCAAGTGCGTCAGAGGGAAGCAGCCCAACTGGTTGCTGAGTTGTGGAAAATAATTAAGCTGGGGGAGAAAAAAACACTTCTTTTAAAAATCAGGTTAGGGATGAATGTGTAGGGCGTGGTTCCTGTGTAATTATCTGCTCTGCTGGCTGCGGGGCTGCCTGCTTCTCCCGGCCCGCTGTGTCAGGATTGTGCCTGTTGCTCCTCCCCTCCTCCCGCTCCTCCCCTCCTCCCACTCCTCCTCCTCCGTCTACTCCCCCTCCTCCTCCTCACAGGTGTGTCTCTAGGCCCTGTGGCTGCCTGCCCCACTCCCTGCCGAGACGCCAGCCAGAAAGGCCACCTATCCTGAACTCCAGCAAGCCTGAAACAGATCAGCCAAGCACCCTGAGATGGAAGCTGCAGATGCCTCCAGGAGCAACGGGTCGAGCCCAGAAGCCAGGGATGCCCGGAGCCCGTCGGGCCCCAATGGCAGCCTGGAGAATGGCACCAAGGCTGACGGCAAGGATGCCAAGACCACCAACGGGCACGGCGGGGAGGCAGCTGAGGGCAAGAGCCTGGGCAGTGCCCTGAAGCCAGGGGAAGGGAGGAGCGCCCTGTTCGCGGGCAATGAGTGGCGGCGACCCATCATCCAGTTTGTCGAGTCCGGGGACGACAAGAACTCCAACTACTTCAGCATGGACTCTATGGAAGGCAAGAGGTCGCCGTACGCAGGGCTCCAGCTGGGGGCTGCCAAGAAGCCACCCGTTACCTTTGCCGAAAAGGGCGAGCTGCGCAAGTCCGTTTTCTCAGAGTCCCGGAAGCCCGCAGTGTCCATCATGGAGCCCGGGGAGACCCGGCGGAACAGCTACCCCCGGGCAGACACGGGCCTTTTTTCACGGTCCAAGTCCGGCTCCGAGGAGGTGCTGTGCGACTCCTGCATCGGCAACAAGCAGAAGGCGGTCAAGTCCTGCCTGGTGTGCCAGGCCTCCTTCTGCGAGCTGCACCTCAAGCCCCACCTGGAGGGCGCCGCCTTCCGAGACCACCAGCTGCTCGAGCCCATCCGGGACTTTGAGGCCCGCAAGTGTCCCGTGCATGGCAAGACGATGGAGCTCTTTTGCCAGACTGACCAGACCTGCATCTGCTACCTTTGCATGTTCCAAGAGCACAAGAATCATAGCACCGTGACGGTGGAGGAGGCCAAGGCCGAGAAGGAGGTAAATGCTGGGGCCCCCCCTCCTGCTCCTCCAGGCCTGTCCTCTCTCACCCCACCCCTCCGACCTTCATCTCCACTGGGGCTTCCTCGCGTTTGGGGCTTACGTTTCTGCTGTCCTTGGCTCTTTTAGAAAACATTTCTTTCCCCTCATACCCCCTGTCCCCCCAATCCCACCTGGGGATCAGAGGTGGCTCCCCAATCCCCTAATGTCTCAGGAGACCGGGACATTTTCTAGATGAGCAGATGGAGACTCAGAAAAGACTGGGGGCCTGACCGCAGTCACAGGATAAATTCAAGTCAGGTCAGAGAGTATGACCCGATGGCACAGAACTCACTCCTGGGCGCTGTGCCTGGCTGGGGTGCTTCTTTCTTCTTCTTCTCCTTCTCCCTCTTCCTCTTCTTCCGCTTCTTCTTCTTCTTCTTTTTTTTTTTTTTTGATTTGAAGAAGAGATAATTCCTCTAACCTGAGTGGGTCTGGCCCCTGGGGAATGGGTTGTGGGTGAGGAAAGATACGAGAAGAGAGAAGTTTGGTCCACTGAAAAGTCCTTTCTTTTGTCTTTGTAGTTTTTATTTGTGGTACAGTGGTTGCTTGTTCTAGCTGATCCCCAGCTGGTCTCTTGACTTCCTCCACAGCCTCCTTTATCCTTCTCTCAGCTGGGCCCTGTGTTTTGCATGTGTGGTTGTGTGTAGACACACCTATTCCTGCAGGCGGACACTGTTGGGGAAGTTTGGAGTTTGTGTGTGGATGGCGTGTACATGTACAGCTAGTCCCTGACTTAGGATGGTTTGATTTATGATGGTGTGAAAGTGCTATGCTTTCAGTACAGTATTCCATAAAACTCAACACTTTATTACAAAATAGACTTTGTAGTAGAAGATTTTGCCAAACTGTTGGCTAATGTAAGTGTTCTGAACAAGTTTAAGGCAAGCTAGGTTAAGCTATGATGCTTGGTAGGCTAGGTGTATTAAAAGCATTTTTGACCTATCACATTTTCAACTTACAATGGATTTATTGGTAAATAGCCCCACACAAGTTGAGGAGCATCTGTATATGTGTTTATTTTATGTGCACGTGGGTGTTTTTGTGCCTTTGTGGATGTTTGCATGTATTCGTATATGTGATACGTAAGTGTGTTTGCATGAGTTCTATGTGCCTGTGCCTGTACTTCTATGGGGAAGAGCAGAGGCAAGTGCAGGCCTGTGGATGTAGCATACCTGGGGAAGGTGATTTGGGCAAAGGACCCAGCTGTGGCCACTGCCCTTTGCCCCACAGATGTGGGGTTCACTCTTCCCTAAGGTACACAGCTTCCTGCTGTGGGTGGCCTTCCTGGGGCAAACCTTCCTGACCTCCAAAGCAGTGAACTCCACTTTCCTGAAGAGCTTCTGTACGTCTCAGATCTGGACAGCACAGGATTCCTCCTTGCCCAGGCTTCCTGACCAGGAGGAGCTGGTTGATTACTCTCTCCTTTCATCTCTCACCCACACCCCTGGACAGAAAGGGCTGAGGTAGGGAGGGGAATGTACTCACAGATCCCTTCCAGAAGCTTGTTTGGTCCAGGAAGATGTTTCCAGCTTCCCCCTGACCCCAGTGTGGCCTCAGGCTTCATACTGAGAGATATAGATGGGACAGGGGCCATGAAAGTCACTCTAGGGAGCTTACTTGGGAGGTTAGACAGAATAAGAGGCAATCATCCTCATCACAGCAACTGAGAAATTGCAGAGCCTCAGACAAGGTTTTAGGAAATGTGACTGAGTTCCAGTCCCAGTTTTTGCCTCTAACTAACTGTAAGACTGTGAATAAGTCCTTTCCATTCTCAGTCTCAGTTTCCCAAGGAGTGAGGCTAGATTGTTGGTTTTCAAATTACCCCACAGAGCCATAGCATTCTTAGAAATGTCTTTGAGGCCTCAGGATGAGGAGGGGGCAAAGAGGTGTCAAGAAGGCGGAGGGTTCAGGTTCCCACCTCGACTACAAGCAAAATATTGATCATCTTCTATGTAGGATTTGGCCTCAAATTTGGACTGAACCAAGGATATCTCTGCTTAAGCCTGGGTACCCCTGGAAGAGGTGGTTCTGGTGGGCAGGAAGGTCTTGGGCAGCCCTGTCTGGTTGTGCCAGGAGCTCAGAGTTCAGAGTTCAGGTTCCGGTATGGGGGCCGCTGAGGGACTCACAGTTCTTTTCTGAGGGAGAGCTCATGATGTAGGTCGGGAGGCAGGGCTCATACACACAGACAGGACTGGGGAGCACCCGCCCAGTTACGCAGAGTGGCTATCAGTCAACATCAAGCTGCAGTGGACAGAATGCCAGGCCAACAGAGTATTCCCTCACCTTGCAAATAGGGACACAGGCATAGAGGAAGGAAGGGGCCTGTCCAAGGTCCTTGTTTGAGGAGGAAGCCCCCTAAGCCCTCTTCCAGTGTTTGAGAATGCCTCAGGGAAGGGGCCCCAAGGGGATGGGATTGGGATATGTGTGCTTTAGGAGAAAATGCCTGGTCCCCTAAAGTGACCGTGATGGTGGGAGCTTCAGGTAGCCTGCACGTGTGTGTGCACACGCATGTGCGCCTGCAGCATAGGGCTAGGCAGGGAGAAGTGGAGCCAGGCAGCCAGGAGACTGAGCTGGGCACCCAGACTGTCTCGGCCTGGCTCTGCTGGAATGTCAGAGGTGGGGGACATTGGCACAGAGCAGGTTTAGTGGGTAGATGGGCCAAAGTGAATGAGAATGCCAGTCCTGGCATCCTTTTGAGGCATCTCCTGCAGACCCAAACATCAGCCCACACATAGCTGTTTGCAAGCAGCCTTGTTCAGAACCTGTTCTGCAGGCCAGTGGTGAAGGCCCAGGTGACATAGCCTCAGACCTGCCTTGGTTGGTTGTGTGAGGCTAAGATGACACCCAGGGCTGTGGGTGCCCGTCTCCTGGGCCTCAGCTCTACCTACAGACTCTGAGCAGAGTCTCTGTTAGAAAAAGATCGCTTGGTGCAACAATATGACAGCACCTTTCTCTAGTGGTCCCTGGGTCAGCATGTTTCCAATTCTACCCCGAATGTCACAATAGATCCCACACATGTCCTCCTGTCTTCCCCTCTGCCACTGGACACTTCCCAGGCTAGGTTGGGTGGGTGGGATTGAAATGTACACATACATCCCTGTCATGGTCTTCCTTCTGCCTATCTCAAGCTTCAGCAGGCCAGGATGTTAAGATCTCCTGGGTGGCTGGCTGGCTGCTCTTGGGTGGCCTTGCCCTGACATGGGTCTGGCCTGCTCTGGGGTGGCAGCACGACGAGGCATGTGTGGAGGTCACTCAGCCAGGAGCATTGCTTTGGAGAGGCTCAGCCTCACGCCTCCTCCACTCTCTCAACCCCACCATTTGGTTCAGTTCAGTTCTCTCACCATATCGTGGCTTTGTTTCTCATCTCGTTGCCCAATTCTTCCACAAAAGCTGAGCCACTGGTTGCTGGGCATGGGTAGCCACCAGTCCTTGCGTTTTTGAGCAGCACTGGTCTGCCCAGAAAGCTCTTTGGGATTCGGGAAGGGGAGCTGGGCTAAAGGCCAGGGTGCCCTGGAGGGGTTGGGCTCACTTTCCCTGGAGTCCTTGGTGACTTTGGGGGAGAGTGCTTGCTCTGGGACGGGGTGGGTGAGAAAGGAGGCAGGGTGACCTCTCTGGGTGCTAAGGGGGAAACAACAACATAAAAGAGGCTTGGAGACAGGAAGCAGGGGAGCAAAGTGACAGGCAGGCAGGATACAATCCAGTGTCTATGGCACACACCTGAGTGCCAGTGCCTGGCCCAGCATGTCCTACCTGTAGATGAAGAAACAAGCTCAAAGTCGTCAAGAGACTTACACAAGTTACAGCACTCAAGATTGACAGAGCTGGGATTCCTCTCCGCTATTTTAAGCCTTTTTGTTCCTGTAGGATCGGAAGGGTCTTGAGATCACCGAGTCCAGTGGCCAGCAATCCCCAGACCACAATCAGCTGGTGAATTGTTGAAACAAAAATTCCCAGTCCTTACCCAAGGAGGTATTTTAAAGGTCTCCCTAGAGAATTCTAATATGTAGCTGGGTTGGGAATCGGAGATCTAGTCCAATTTCACCACAAGGAAACCAAGGCTCAGGGAGGGGAGGTTCCCACTATGCCTGTGTCCCCATCTGCAAGGTGAAGGAGACCGAGGGGGCTGCTAACACTCCGTGGGCCTGGCTTTCCGTCCTCTTCCCCACTGTTGGCCTGGAGACAGCCAGGGTGACACCTTCCTTGCCCCGTCTCACCCCTCCCCTGACCTGAGGCTATGAGGAAGCAAAAGGAACAGTAAATCCCAGTTAAGCAGACTAACTGATCCCAGGCTGTTTGACGTCCGGGTGGAAATGGGGAAATCTATCCAGCATTTCAGATTCTTATCCAGATAATTACCATTTGTCTGGGAGTACAAATCTGGCAATTAACTGGCTCATTTGGCAAATGTCACAGCCGACAGGCCTTATAGTGAATTCAGGCCAGGGGAAGATCATGGCCAGTCCTCTCCTCCCTGGAGGCAGTGCAGGTTCACCTATCCAGGTGGGTGCTCAGGTGTGTCTCCACCTGAAGACCACGTCCAGGTTGAGGCGCTGCTAGCTGCTGCACCACCCGTCTGCTCTCAGGAAAGCCTCTGCTCACCCAAGGCTGAAGGATTTCAAGGCTGGGTGGCCCATGCAGGGCCCGATCCTGGCATCAGAGAGCAAGAGGCAACCAGACAGGTGTGGGAGAAGGGAACAAAGGAGTCATTTAGGGACAGGTCTGGGCAGGGAGGAATGAAGCGGAGAGTAGGAAGTCAGGAGGGAGGTGTGGGCAGGGCGAGACTGTGGGGATCAGAGGCCCTGTCAGCCATCAGGGCCTTTAACCACTTTCTGAAGGAAGAGGGAGAGAGGGAGAGAGAAAGCTGGGGCCTCAGGACAATGGGGAGGGTGTGGGGAGGGAATTGGGAGGGAAGCGGGGGCAAGAGGAAAGACGTGGAACTGCCAAAGTGGGCCATCTGCGAGGTGAAGGGAGCATGGGGGGGGGGCTTAGGTCAGCAGGAGTGAAGGGGAAGGACAATGCCACAGAAGGCACACAGGACAGCCCGGTGCCACCACCTCTAGATGCGCCTCTTAAGGCACAGAATAGGATCTGAGCCCTATTGTTGCAGCTTGGCCTTACTGCTTTCCACCTGTGAGAACTCAGGCAAGCTATGTAATCTTTCTAGGCCTCAGTTTTCACACCTGTGAAATGGGGCGGGGAGGGGAGGGATGATGCCACTTACCTCCACAGGAGGCTTTTGCTGGTTAAAGGAGAAAAGTCCTGGCACATAGTAGATGCTCAGTAATCAACACTCCCTTCCTTCTCTCTACTAGTGTTGAAGGAGAGCCCAGCGTCTTTTCAACCTTCCCATGTTATATTACTTCCTATACAGGAAAAATTGCCAAGAGCTGAACAGACACGAGGTACATCCCTAGGTCTCACCCCAAATGCTCCTCCCCTGACAGGGTAGGACTCATCCCAGAGGTGATAAAGGAGCGTTCTAGCAGCACAGAGTTCCCAGTCCAAGGGGACTCCAAGAACCCGCTGTGTCCCGCCAGTCTGGTCTTAGAAGACATGCTGTGGGAACAAGGCCCCTTCCCAGCCTATGTCCAACTTCTTCAGTGCCCCAAAGAAATAGAAGGCCAAATCTCTCCTCCACCCTGACCGACGCTTCCACCCACAGCTCCAGACAGTCTCCCCTTCTGACCCTGCCCTCACAGGTTTCCACGTCATCCGCCAACACCTCTGGCTCTGCTCTCCACCCCTCGGTGCTCAGCTAGCCCTGTTGCCCTCTTCCCTGGCTCCCTTACACAGGATGGACTCCGGGGGGACTGGCATCACCCTGCCCTTGGCCTAGACACTTCTTTGTTCTAATCCCCATTGAATTCTGCATCCCTGAACTCGATCTCCTTCGTCTGTCTTGGCCAGTGAATCCATGCTCACCTGGGGAGACCTTTCCTCCTCTGCAGCCATAACCATGCAGCCCTCACCTTCTCTGGTCAGACCTTCTTCCACTTGCAGGTGGTTAGTCCACCCTCATCCCCTTTTAATCTCCTTCATTTCTGCCAGTGTCCTCTAATCTTCAATTATCCACGAGCTACGCTTCCGTCTTGCATTCAGCCCAGTGTCTTGACCTCACCAGCCTCTCTGCACTCCCTGCTGTTTACTCTGTGTCTGGACAGTGTACACATTCCATCTGGATCCCAATCCAACAGCATACACTGTCCTCACCACTGAACACTACCAACACCTCACCCGATCACACCTGCCACGCTCCTCACTTGCCAATGCCGGCGCACCTGCCCACCACACTGCACACACTGCTGCGAGCATGGTGTGAGTGAATGCACCTGGCCTGGCCCCTGGTCCATGGAAGGTTCCCACACAACAGTGACGATGGGGACCATTGCTCAGACGGTGCTCACGCTGTGCCAGATGCTTTCTGGGAGCTTCACTCCCAATCCCAGGGCATCCCACAGCTTCCCTGGGAGGCAGGTCCTCTTCCTGCCCACCATGGACCAGACAAGGCTACTGAGGCACAGAGAAGCTAGGCAACTTTCAGAGGCACTTGCTGTCCTGTGCTCCCGGTGAGCTCCCTCTGAGCCCACCATTGCTCATTTCGTGGAAGGGCTGCCCATCCCCTATTTGGGACAGGACTTTTACGAGTGCTGGGCCCTGGCCTGTGGTGGGAGGGATTGTGCTTTTGTTCTCTGCTTTCCTTTCCATCAGACCTTGTTCTGGGGGTGGTAAGGTGGGGTGAGGAACCCGGGGGCCAACTCCTCCGTCGCTGAGCTGGGTCAGGAGGTTGGGGGCCTCCAGCTATTCCCCGACCTCGGTCTTCACTCAGGGGTTCTCCAGGGTGAGAAAGGTGCCTGGGATAGAACCCCAGTCTTGGTTCTCTTGGACTCTTCCTCACAGCTCAGATCTGCTTGCCAGGTCCAGCCTCCTCGGAGGCCTTTGGGGCCGTGGGATCTGCCAGCCTGTGTTTCCTGGGCTCTTGGGCTCTGCATCCTCAGAGTGTGACGGTCTAGTTTCTGCCCTTACAGTGGGCCTCCTTTCTGTTTTCCGCTCTCTCACCATCTTATTTAGTGACTGCTGGCTTCTCTCCAGCCTTTTTTCCAGAGATAGGGCCAAATCTCCATCCTCATCTCCTTAGGTCCTCTTTTCCATCTCTGGTAATGGTATTTTCCATGCTATGGCATTTCCAGCCCATTGCTGGTGGGGCAAATGCTACTGAGAACAACTCTGAATCTCCCTGCCTGGAGAGCCCAGGAATGTGGTGGTGGGGGCGGGGAGGCCAGGGATTCAAGGACTGTCTGGAAAGCTCTGTGGCTCTTGCCCCATGGCTTCCCCACCCTCTGGGCACCTTTTCCAAGAAGGCCAGGGAAACTCTGTCTGCCATTGGATCCCCTTCCCTGGGTGCCTGCAGCAGGTCTGCTGTTAGCCCTCCCTTGGCCTGGTGGGGCGTTCAGAAGTTGTGTCGTGTGGTGATGCACGTGCCCAGGTGCTCATGACTCCTGGCTGCTGGAACTCACATTCCTAGAGGTTTGTGGCTTCCTCACCTTGACTCTTCTTTTGGGCTCCTCAAGGAGATGACCAGAGAAAGGGGTGGGACTCTGCATTCAAAACCCAGTGGTAGTGGGGAAATCTGGAGCAATCCAAGGCTCCCTTGGATGCTTTGTTCTGTCAGGTGGAGATCATTCACCTATTGTCCATGCTGGAAGGGGCTTTGAGAGTCCTACAGGGCAGCCCAGCAGAACAGAGGCTTGGCTGGATGGTACTGGCCTTAGCGTCATGCCTCTCCTTTTGTCTCTATTGTGGCCACTTTTCAGAGAAGGGCACTTCCCCAAATGGAAGGTGAATATGGGAGTGAAAGCTAATGTCCCAGCACACTACTGATACAACCTTTTCCTAAACCACCCCAGACCCCAACAGTCTGTGTCCTCTTCCTGAGCAGGGGTCCCTGCAACCCCTTCTTCCACTCTACACTGCCTTCTTCTCTAGCCTTCTCCTTCCCCAGAGCCCCTGGGTAAAAGTCCCTGTCTTGCCAAAACTGCAGAATGCCTTCCCTTTCCCATAAACAGGTTTTATAGCTGTGCCTGCCCAGACGGAGTCCACGCCAGAGGCAACCCTGGCTGCTGCTTGCAACACAGCCCTACGTCATGCCATAGAAACGCTGCATACTGTTACTGCCATGAGACACTCCCTGGGCTGGGCTGGGCTGGGCTGAGCTGGGCTGGGTCCCCTTCCTTTCTCTTCCCAGTGTCTGCAGGTCCACTGAAAGGGGCAAGCACCCTGTAAATGAGTTCCCTCCTGCTCATGCTGGGTGGAGGAGACAAACAGAGGTTTAGCCCTTAAAAAGACAAGGCTAGAATGTCCAGCCCTAGTGGCCTGAGAATATAGCAAGATGGTATTTAACTTACTGCTAGATCCTTGGCGACTGGCATGGTGCCTGGCATATCTGAGGTCCTGATGAATGTTTGCTGAATGAAGAGCTGAATAGATGAGTGATGAGCCCTGGCTGCCAGTGTGCCCCCTGGGTGGACCCGCTCCCTTGTTCTCTGGTTCTCTTCCATCTCCTCCCCCTAACTTCTCCAATCCTGGCTCTTTCTCTGCAGACAGAGCTGTCACTGCAAAAGGAGCAGCTGCAGCTCAAGATCATTGAGATTGAGGATGAAGCTGAGAAGTGGCAGAAGGAGAAGGACCGCATCAAGGTGAGCGCCCCCAAGCTCACCTTGCTGCTCCCTTACCCCACCAGGCCTGCCTGGAAAGAGGCAGGCCTTGGCTCCCATTTGAGTCTCAGGCACACATAGACATCCCACATGTGTTTCTTCTGGCTTCTCCCACTTCCTCTGGCATTCTCACTGACTGCCCTTCTCAGTCTGAGCCAGGCACTCAGGTGGGATCCTCTCTGTGACCTAATACCCATTTCATATTATCCCAGCAAGTAAAGACCCTAGTGTGTCTTCTGATGTTCTCCAATGTCTGTTCTGCCCACCAGACTCCCCAGCCACCAAATACACGCCATTTCTTCTCTACTTATGCCATTGTGGCTAAATATGTGTCTGCCGTGGTTTGGGTAATTGCAAACTACAATCTGAAATCACTGCCTGCTTGACCGTGACTACATACACAGCTGGCATACACATTAATTTTCTGAATACACATTTCCACATATACATTCATTTTCTGAAGGATGTTTGGTTCTGGTTAGAGTTTCAGGGAGCATATTGTGACCCATGGGAGAACTTGGGGGCCCACAGGGAATGATGGCTCATATCAACTCACAAAGAGGAAGGAGCCACGATAGGAATGTGGGCTGTGAACAAACCTGGCTATCCCTATCAGTAGGTGGCATCCCTCAGTGATGCCTTTGAATGAGATTCTTGGCTAAACAGACTTGCCAGGTTAGGGCAGTGGGAATGCCCTGACCCTGTGCTAGAAATTTAAAGACACACCCAACTAGGGAGATTTCTTTCCCTAACTAAAGCCCTGCCTAATCCCTTCCCTGACTTTGGACCTCTAGAGCTTCACCACCAATGAGAAGGCCATCCTGGAGCAGAACTTCCGGGACCTGGTGCGGGACCTGGAGAAGCAAAAGGAGGAAGTGAGGGCTGCGCTGGAGCAGCGGGAGCAGGATGCTGTGGACCAAGTGAAGGTGATCGTGGATGCTCTGGATGAGAGGGCCAAGGTGCTGAATGAAGACAAGCAGACCCGGGAGCAGCTGCACAGCATCAGCGACTCTGTGTTGTTTCTTCAGGTAACAAGCCACTCCTCTGTCACTCAAGCCCTCAATTTCCCCGTGCACTTTTCGAGACCCCCTCCATCATCCATCCATCCACCTATCCACTTATCTACCTATTCATCTATCCATTCATTCACCATCCAACCATCCAACCATCCATCCATTCATCTATCTATCCAAGCGCCATTCTCTCTGTTTAATTTTTTTAATCCAATCCATTTCTCTACCTACTCTCAAGATGGCACACAAATATCACCTTTTATGAACTTCAGTTGATATATGCTAGCAGTGCCGTAGGCTCAGTAGGAAAGAGTTCTGAGATCAGTGAATCGGGTAGAGGGGTGGTGGCGTAGGAGTGCTGCCTATTTGTTATCTTGGATCTAGTCCATTTGTCTATTCATCCATTCATCCTTCCATCTGCTAGAGTGTTTTGGATACCACTGCATGCCCAGTACTCTATTAGGTGCTGTGGCGAATAGAGAAGTACAAGACATGGTTTCTGCCCCCAAGCAACTGCAATCCAGCTGGGAAGATAAGACATGTACAATTAGAGAACAATATAGAAAAGTGTATAATTAAATGATAAAGCATATGGCTTAGGAGATAAGTGCCTGTAGAAGCTCAGAGAAGGGCAGGCGGGCTAGAGGAAGCTAAGACAGCTTTGTGGAGGAGGTGGAGTTTCAACTGGGTCTTGGCGGCCGGTTAGGATTTGAGAGGGAGGACAGAGTCTTCGGTGAGGAGGAAGGGAAATGAGAAGTGCAAAGGCAGCACTGAGCATGGCATGTAAAGGTAGAAATACCACTGTGGGCCGGGCGCAGTGGCTCACATCTGTAATCCCAGCACTTTGGGAGGGTAAGGCGGGCGGATCACCTGAGATCGGGAGTTCGAGACCAGTCTGGCCAACATGATGAAACCCCATCTCTACTACAAAAAACAAAAAAACAAAACAAAACGAAACCAAAAAAATTAGCCAGGCATGGTGGACTTACCTGTAATCCCAGCTACTCAGGAGGCTGAGGCAGGAGAATTGCCTGAACTTGAAAGATGGAGGTTGCAGTGAACGAAGATCGTGCCACTGCACTCCAGCCTGGGTGACAGAGTGAGACTTCGCCAAGAAAGAAAGAAAGAAGGAAAGAAGGAAAGGAAGGAAGGAAGGAAGGAAGGAAGGAAGGAAGGAAGGAAGGAAGTCGCCACTGCACTCCCAGCCTGGGTGATGGAGTGAGACTTCATGGGCAGGCACAGTATGGCAAGGCAAGGCACAAGAAGGTGGCAAGAATGTAATACAAGCAAGGCTAAGGAAGGAAGGAAGGAAGGAAGGAAGGAAGGAAGGAAGGAAGGAAGGAAGGAAGGAAGGAGAAAGGAGGAGGGAGGCAGGGAGGGAGGCAGGGAGGGAGGCAGGGAGGGAGGCAGGGAGGGAGGAAAGAAGGAAAGAAAGGAAGAAACAAAGAAAGAAAGAAATACCACCATGGCTGACCCTGAATACCATAGTCATTCCTTGCATTTCTTTAGTGCGTTCACTCCCAGTCTTCACAGCTTGTGTCCCTCTCACAAACCCTATGAGGTAAACAGATGCACCCACTTTAGTGGTGGGAGTCGTGGAGTCACACATCTGAATGCCAGTGCCATCAGGGGTGTTAGCATCCAGTGAGTTTTAGCTGAACCTTTTCACCTTACAGAAGAAACAAATATCCAGTGAGGAAGAGTGGGGCTTGCAGCACTGAGACCCCCAGCTGCACTGTGAGAGCCCCTGGCAGAGAAGAGTCCTCATAGCTCATGAAGACCCAGGCAGTTAATGGTTTTTTCCTTTCTTGGTAGGAATTTGGTGCATTGATGAGCAATTACTCTCTCCCCCCACCCCTGCCCACCTATCATGTCCTGCTGGAGGGGGAGGGCCTGGGACAGTCGCTAGGCAACTTCAAGGACGACCTGCTCAATGTATGCATGCGCCACGTTGAGAAGATGTGCAAGGCGGACCTGAGCCGTAACTTCATTGAGAGGAACCACATGGAGAATGGTAGGTCCCCTCTCGTGGCTGGGCCCCAAGGCCATGGACCTTTCTGTCCCAAATCAATTCCTGCTGCCTGACATGGGCTGGCGTCCGGTGAGCTTATTCTCGTTGTTCCTACCCACCCACCCACCCTTCCTCAGGCTGTTTGGACTAGGTTACAGGGATTCTAACCCTCCCCCTCCTTTGAACTTGCTGCCAAAGTTATGCAGCTATAGCAAGAGGCCTCCAGAGCAGGGACATCCTGGGCACTGGCTGCACAAATGCCTCCTCTCTGTGGGTTGTCCATCAAACTCAGACTGGTTTTGTTCAGATCTACATCTAATTGCCGGGCCCCGCCCAGCAGCTGTGTGGATCCTGCCCCTAGTACGGGCCAGACTCCAGACTGGTGGCTTTGCAGACTCTAGCAGACGTGACCTAGAACTACAGCCATGCCTGGAGGGAGGACTTGCCTGTCATCGTGGCCATGCTGAGCAGTGCTGAGCCCAGAGGCTGGACTTGGCCTGGTGGGCTGGGCTGGGGATGGTGGGACAGTGTCTCTGTGACTCACCAGCTCCCCTGAAGTCAGCTCTTCTTCTGAGTCATGCTGTCCCCTCAGAGGTCAACTGAATCATCTCACAGAAAACCTCTGAACCTGAGAAACAACATTGTTAAGTCCTTTTCCACCCAGTCCCTTTAGGGCCTGAAGCCTGGGCACTTTCCCCAAGGCCCCACCCGACGTCCCAGGTGTTGCACGGGGCCTTGAGAGTACAGCCTTATTAATGAATGCTAGACGTGAATACCCCAAAGGAAAGGACCCCTGATTGCTCTCCAGACACAGCATATGATTCTTTGGGAGAGGAGAAGGGGATGAGGGGGATAGGAGTGTGTGGAAGGGTTGGGGTTCAGGAGGCCATTTGTGCACCTTGGTGATGGCAGTATCACACAGTGTCCCTGTGAAATGTGGGGGACATTCAATCACACCCAAGGACAGATAAGCCATTTCAGCAAGACAATCATTTGGCTTCAAACGGCACTCAGATCCCGAAATCCTCCTTCTAATGACAATAGTGATGATGCTAATGGTGATGGTGGCAGCTGACAATGATTGAGTGCTCCTTCGATGCTGGGCATTTCGCTGAGCTCCTCATGCACATTACCTTATTTTCCCTGCGGGGTGTACTGCATTTTACAGGCGAGAAGGCTGAGGCTCAGAGACGCATCCTTTCATAGGGCGCACAGCTTGGTAGGGGGTACGGCGGGGTTGAACACTCTGCTATTCAGTCTCCCATGCCCTCTCATCTGAGAAGCTGCAGCTGCCGGTGGCTGCAACAGTGGGGTTGAGGAGTGTGATAATCATCAGCCCTGGGGTACAAACCCGCAGGGGAGCCCCTCCGGTGAGGTCTGGCCAGGCCTGGGGGGATGGCCTAGACTGGGGTGGAGTGAGCCTTGCAGAAACTGTTCAGCCTCCTGGCGGCTCAATGGCCCATTTCTAGGTCACAATGCTGGCCCTGTACAGGTGTGGCCCTGCGTCCTGTATGAGGTGTGTGGTGAGGTGGCAAGCGGGAGCAGGGATAGGCACTGCTGATTCAGTGGCCCACACCTGTGCCTGGGGCCGTGGGGGCGGCTCCTCTGCCTCTATGTTGTTTTGTTGTGTGGCTGCTGTGTGGATGCTGGGAGTGTGTCTGCTCTAGGAGGTGGTGGCCAGTGAGTCAGACAGTGGAGTGACCATCCACTCCTCCCTGATGCCAGCCTGCCCACCAGACCAGGAACTCGTCCACACCTCAAAGGCCCCTGTGCTAGGAGACACCAGGCCACTTCATCCTGGGCTCTGTGGGGCACAGGGCTGGGCTAACACCTAGCAGGGCGTTTGTTTATTCTTTGAGTATCTACTGTGCACCAGAGCACAGACAGGCGCAGGTGATGAAGATGAAGAATGAGGCTCTCAGGCACATTCCTCCTCTTGCTCAGGAGAGAGAGAGAGGGAAGGACAGAGAAAGTAGAACACGGGGAAGTTGCAAGAGAAAGGAATGGACTGGATGTGGCTGAGGGAAGTCAAGTGTCAAGCAGCAGATCTGTTTGAGTTAGGGGATTCTGCAGGTGAGTGGCCCCCGCCATAGCAACTCACTCCACTGCCTGGATCCCTGGGCCTTGGAGGCCAACATTGGGACCTCATCCCCTCACCTTAGGCTGCCAGCAGTGGCTGGGACTGAACCCGGAAGTAGAGGGCCAGGGCTCAATACCCAACTCTGCCCTTATTGGCATGTGACGTTGGGCAAGCTGCTTCTCTTACTTCCTGAGTCTCAATTTCCTTATCTGTCTCAGGGGGATGTAACCACAGTTGATGTATGGATCAAATAAGAAATGGGCATTGAAGCACCTTGTAAAGGTGAAGTGCTCGGAAGTGCTGTGCACACGATCTTATTCACAAGGGCTCCGTCCGAGAGGGTGGATGGCTCTTTGCAGACACCCTCTCCATCAAGAACTCAGGAACCGAGCAAATGCCGGTCAGGGCGTCATATTCTCGGAGGCTGTGGAAACTTGGCTCTCCCTGGGACATAGAGGGTGGGCTATGGGGTGACTCATCTGAGCCCCCAAAGTCCCCAGTGGGCTGCCTCCTCCTTCCCACCTGGTTCCTCTGCTGACCCGACCCTCTCCTTCCTAGGTGGTGACCATCGCTACGTGAACAACTACACGAACAGCTTCGGGGGTGAGTGGAGTGCACCGGACACCATGAAGAGATACTCCATGTACCTGACACCCAAAGGTAAGAGGGAGCCCTCTCACCTTAGACCCAGCATCTCTCCTGCTGCCCAGGGGACCCGCAAAGTCCATGCAGTGACTCTTAGCCAGGTTCCTTCTGGGTGGGGGTGATGGTATGTCCAGTTTGCCTGGGAAAGTCCTGGCATCTGCATGTTGTCCTGATGTGATTATGAACAGCGTCTGCGTTAGCTCTCAGAAGCGTCCTGGTTCGAACGAGAAGTTACCTGGTGCCAGCTCCTCAGAGGCAATCCTCCTCGGCCACACAGGCAGCCCCTCTGCCCTCCTTGCCCTCTCACTTCTAGCCCACACCTCTGCTTCTCTTTCTTTCCGGAGGTCTCCTGGGCTCCCTTCTGCCAGGCTGGTGCTGTGTTTTGCTTTGGCTCAGGTTTTGTAGGGGCTGAGCCCTCTGAGATGGCTGCCGACCCCAGGACCATTCTGCTCCCCTAGGCGGGGAGAGCAGTGCCTCTTCTTCTGAGTTTCCTGGCTCTGCACCCTGGCTCCCTTGGCCCTCCCTCCCAGGCCCTGGACAGTCCCAGCCTGCAAGGTGCTGGCCTAGCATAGACCAGTGCCTGCCTGTCCTTGTCCTGTGGTGGCCTCTCATTCTTGGGCGCCAGCAACAAACCACAGCAATATCCGTTACATAAGGGCGGGTGTGCTGACCCTCGGACCATGAGGGTGTGTGCCTGTGCGTGTGGGAGAGTGGGACTGGGGGAGGAGGGAGGCATGGGGAAGGCACAGGGGCTGGGGAGGGGGAAGCCTCCAGGAGCTAATCAGTAATTCACACATGTCTTACACACACACACACACACACACACACACACACACACACAATGGGAGAGGCTTGGGGGATTTGGAGAGATGAGCTCAACAGAAAAGCACCTGTGTCGCCCCACCCAGTTTGAAAACAACCCCTGGGCTTCTTGGTTGTTGGGCTCTCCCTCCTCTGACATTCCTGGTGTGGGCCAGGCCCCAGCCAGCCAGCCTGCCTCCTCCCTGCCCAGGGTGCTGTGCCTTTGGGCAAGTTCTGGGAGAGGATAAGCTGTTCTAACCAGTCAGCCCCAGCACCCCTCTCCTTAGAAACCCCACCAGGCCTCACCCCAGCCCTGTCCCTCCTGTCTCTCCCTACCATCCATGGACCAGGCCCCGGGGTGTCATCGAGTGCCCTGATGGGCTCCTGTGGGTCTCTCCTGCTCTGTAGGAGACTGAGGGCCTGGTGTGAGCCTCCTGCAGGTGTGGGAGGGGGTGGAGGGAACAACAGCACCCACTATGATGCCACCTTGAGGGCTTAGGGCCTGGGGGATCTTGGGCAGGCCTCAGTACCCGTATCTGAAGAGAGGGGAGGTTGTGCTCACATGCTGGGAGACTTCCCAGCTCTGTTGCTGTGAGTCAGTCTATGATGTCTGTGATGGAAGAAGCAGGTTCCCCCAGCATCCCTGCCCAAGCACTGTGGGTAGCCTGTGCTGAGGATGGGAGGGACAGGAACTCTGCTCTCTGGGAGCTCCCAGGCTCAGGGTGGAGGTGTGGGGAGGACACCAAGGAGTCACCAAGGAGATGAAAGAAACAAGGCCCCTAAAGGGTCTGGGTCCTGAGTCTGGGAGCTTTGAGGTCAGTGGGATTGACAGTGGCTGTGACTCCTTCCCAGGAGGGGTGAGTTTCCGGGAACCTGTGCTCAGTAGAGGGGCATGACTGCGATGGGCAGAGTGCATCAGGGACCACAGGCATAAAGGCTTACAGGAAGGACTGGCAGGGCCAGAACTGGGGGTGTGGTGTTATCTGAGGGTCAGGTGGGGAGGGACAGAGGTAACAGAGGACCAGAATACACATGGAGAGCTCATTGTTTTCAGCTAGGTATCAGTAGGGTTATCAGTCCTCACTGCTTCCTCACAAGGCTATTGTGAGAGCCCAGGTGTGCGGAAAGGAAAGCACTTGTGAAGTGAGGCTCTGATCTCCCACCGCTTCTGCCCCCGTGGTTGCTGTGGCCTCTCCGGGTTTATGCTGATGCTCTCCTCACGGTTACTAACAGAGCCCTTGTACTCTTCAAAAGCATGCCAATTTTGGTGATAAATTAGTTGATTGCCTTATGTCAGACCCAAAGGACCTCTCTCAATGGTGGAATCCAGGTCCTGTGATGGGCACTTGGGCAACTTTTTGGTGGCAAGGAGTCCTGCATGAGACCGTTTTCTGCAATGACAGCCCCCATCATCTGCTTCACAGGTGGGGCCCGGACATCATACCAGCCCTCATCTCCTGGCCGCTTCACCAAGGAGACCACCCAGAAGAATTTCAACAATCTCTATGGCACCAAAGGTAAGTGGTGGCTCAACTTGAGGGTGCACAGGGTTCATGTGGGGCTGTGCAGGCAGGAGGGACATAGAGGTGGGGCCAGGGGGCACGGGGTTCAGACCCCAGTGTGAGATGAATGTGGGAAGCTGGGATGGGTGGGGGGCCCAGACACGGGTGGAGAGGGGTCCTACCTACCAAGCTTAAAGTGTGTGTGTGTGTGTGTGTGTGTGTGTGTGTGTGTGTGTACATGCATGCGGGACACAGGCTGGAGGAAAAATAGCCAGGAATCTCGGCATCCCTGGAGATCCTTGAGTCCGTGTGCTCTTCTGATTCCTGAGGAAGGATTTAGGGAAAACTGGGGCTGAGCAGCCACCTTGGGCTTAAGTGTGGGGAAGCCCCCCAGCCAGTATGAGGGCGCGAGGGCCCACAGAGAATCTACTGATTTGCGTACTTCTGCAGTGAAAAGTCGTACAGTGGTTAGTTGTTAGCTTGGCTGTGACTGGAAAGGAAGGCATGGCAGGAAATGGGACTGGCCCTGTTGCTCCAGGAGGTGAGGCGAGTGAGCAGCATCTTAAGACCTAGATGAGATGAAATGGGGGTGGGGACAGGGATTCCCTAGGGGGAGCTGCTAAGTTCAGGGTCTCCTTCTGTCCAGTGCTCCGAGGGGACCATTTGCTCAAGGGCAGGGCCATCCCACTCAATGAGACCTGGTTCTGGGAGCCCTTAGTTCTGTCCTGGGGGCTCCTGGTCACATGCCAGTCATGCACGGGGAAGGAGGGGACTGGGTCAGCCCCCGCCCCAGACATAGCACTGGAGGACTCTTCTGTGAGGACAAGACCCATGGAGACTGAAGGGTCAGGGGCACCACAGCAATGCCTGGGCCTCTACATCCAGGATTGAATTCACAGCCGTGACCAGCGGCACTCCCTCCTCCACATATGCAGTAGACCATGGGCACCTTGAGGACAGAACTGTGTCTGTCCTGTTTGCTGCTACAGGCCCAGAGCTCAAAAGTAGGAAGGGGTCAGGAAGCAGTCATTGAGAGACTAAAGGCATGAGTGAACAGAAGGGCAAGGTGTCTGGCCTCGCAGAGCCCTGGCTGGACGTGCTCACTGAGGTCTTGCTACAGAAGCTGCCTGGGATCCCTGTGGGAGGGCTTTGCACAGGGGCAGGTGGCCAGCCGCAGCCATCTCTGACCCCTGAGCCCAAAAGTCAGCCCCCAGCCCTCCCCACAAGCAGCCAAGGGGTGAGCTTGACTAAGGAGGTCACTGATGTTTCAAGCCTGGCAGATGGGGGTGCTGGAGAAGTATGCATCACCCACGGGGGCTCTGAGACCCCCACTCCAGTGCCTTCTGAGTGCCCTAGCAGCTCCTCCCACCCCCTTCCCATTGCCTTCTTTGGACTATGGGACATGCCTGCACATAGGCACGTGCTAGCCTATTCAACTTGGCAACTATCAACTGTCTCATCCCCAAGTTTTAGGATGTGTTTGTATTTATTTGTTCATTGGTTCATGCGTTCTGTCCATCAGCCGTACAATGAGCACCTTCCAGGAACCAGGCTCTGGGCCAGGCGCCAGGTGTGATGCAGGGGCCAGACAGGCACATTCCTAGTTCATGTGAGCTCACTGCGGGAGACAGACAATTGAACATATAGTTGCCACCCAGAGGGTAGGGGGTACAGGATGATGTGGGGATGGGGCTGAGGCACATGCAGACATTGGGGAGGTGCCATGTAAGCTGACACTTGAAGACCCCACCCTTGAATCGCTGAAGGTGGGGAGCAGGAGAAGTGTCCTAGGCAGAGGACAGGGTCTGGGTACATAGCCTGGGGCAGGAGAGAAGCTGGAGTGTCTCAGACACTGAGACTTAGCCTGGTTTGAATGTCCAGTGGTGGAGGGAGGGCAGAGGCGAAGCCAAGAAGTGGGAGATGGTGGGTGTGTGGCGGGGATTGGGGAGAGCAACTCACCACAGCCATGGGCTGCGCTTGGGACGTTGCGCCTTATTCTGAGGACAGTGGCCTTTAGGTAGGGCAGGGACCGGACTACGCTTTATGTTTTAGAAAGATAGCTATGGTGGCAGAAGGATGGGGGTGAGGTATCACTGGGATCACAAGTGGCATCCTGGGTTAAGTTGTGGCCGGCGGCTGGAGAGTCACAGACCTGGCTGTGTCCTGGTCCTGCCTCCTCTCCCCCTCCCAGCTGTGGGGGCCTGACAGCCCTTCTTTGCCCTGCCAGGTAACTACACCTCCCGGGTCTGGGAGTACTCCTCCAGCATTCAGAGCTCTGACAATGACCTGCCTGTCGTCCAAGGCAGCTCCTCCTTCTCCCTGAAAGGTGAGCTTGCCCACCCTGGCCCCTGCTTTCCTCCACAGCTGCCCCACACCTCCCAAACCCTGCTTGGGTCTCTTCCCTGAGCTGCTAGTTCCTCCCTCACCTCGCTGTCCAGTGACCACAGCCTTTCACTGGACAGAGATCTGGCCCAAGACAGACCCTGCTTATTTCTTGAGGACCTCAGCTTCCAGGTCATGGCCTGTGTTTTCCCAGGCCTCCCTGCAGGCTGATGGCTGACACTGAGAGTGCCTTCACTGTGCTGTGAACCAGAGCTCCTTTCTGGTCTGTCTGGGCTGAGGTGGAGGGAGTCAGGGCGGCCCCGCCTTAGACTAGCATCTTTGCAACCAAGCTCAGAGAGCGCACCTGCTTTGGGCCTCTCGGGCTTGCCGTCCTAACCCTGGGTGGTGGCCACACTGACAAATTCCTGCCTCTCTCTAGGCCCTAGTCTCTGGCTAGTGAAACAGGGGAGAGGCCACAGAGCCAGGGAGAAAAAACGTGAATTTGGGTTTGGGAGTCCGGCAGCACCTGGTTTGGAATCCTGACTGCTGCTTATAAGCTGTGCAACTCAGGCAAACTGCTGAGCTCATAAATACAGGGGCCAGATGAGAGCCCGGGAGCTGCCGCCATGGTCTTTGCTGAAAATGAGGACAGGAGTGGGGGCTGGGCTACATCAGCGTTTCCCAAGGCTTGTTTCACCGCTCTGTAGTCTTTACCTACATGCTGCAACAACAGCTCTCAGTGGTCAGGACGTGGAGGACACACCATATCCCCTGCACCTGACCTCTCTGATCCTCAGGGTGCTGCTTCTCATACTGCAGAGTTTATTTAACTCCCAGCGTTGGCTGGCTCTAGGGTCCTGTGGCCATGGGGCACCTGCCAGCATCCTGCAGAGCCAATCCTGCAGGCGCCCCTTTGGGAAAGGCAGGACCAGACGACCCTAAGGCCCCCCAAGACTGATCTTCTTTTCTGGCACTCTGTCCCCCGCCTGCCTGTGGTGCTCTCCAGCACTCTGACAAGGGAGAGTGGTCGATGCCTCCTGTCCCCTGGGGCTGGGGGCATCCCAAGGGGACAAGCTTGAACCAGACCCCAGCTATGGGCCCCTGGCCCTCATGTATCTCCTGAAAGATCCCAGGGACAGCTCTAATGGCTGTGGTGGGAGTAACCCTGTCTCTCTTCTGGCACCCCGAACATCTGGCCTGGAAGTCAAGATCAGCAAATTGGGTGGGCTCAGGAGAGGGATAGGGGCTCTGCAGGGCAGACAGATCCCTGAGCAGTGGCCTCTGAGGCCTCGTCACTCAGCTGTCCCTTCTGGCCCAGAGTCCTACACTATACCCAGGGCAGGGATTCTTGGAGCTGCCGGCAAGATGAAGGAGACAGGACTATGGGTGGAGGGTCCCAGCCTGCAGAAGCCCCGGGCATGTCCTAGCCCTGATCCGGGCCTGGGGAGCTCCAGGACTTGCCTTAGCCTGTTTGGCTTCTAGCAGGTGCCTTTCTGCTCTCTGCTCAAGCCTGGACCACAGAGCACCTGGCAGGGGAGGTGGCCGCCCTCAGGTGTGATTCAGAGCAGCCCCCAGCATGAGGGGTGGGTCCTTTTGGCCCCTCGTGGGACCAGCACTGTGCCACTAATGCCTCTCTCTCTCCCAGCAGGCACTGGGAAAACCCCCTATCAGTTCACCACCTTGGGACAGGCCACTGCAGAGTTTTCCAAACCACTGGGTCGCAGTGGGCTGTCTAAAAATCATCCCGGTACCTGCCCCTTTTCCCATTCCTCCCCTTTCCTCTCCCACAGCGGGGCAGGTGGGACACGGCGGGCTCTCTGCCACTTCTAGGGTGTGCCGGTCCCTTCTCCCCAGAGCTCCCTGGAGAGGGATGCATGCCCCACCTGCCACCCCAGCACACTCTATCTGGACTTCTGCCTGCTGCACAAGGCGGGTGACTTGGGACACCCTAACCCCACCCCTGTTTCCATTCTCCCCTCTCTCGTGGCTGGCATGGGATTTTCTTTCCGGGAACTGAGAGATGAGGCCTGAATTACCCCTCTTAATCTCCACTCAGGATCCCTGGAATGCCCCCCTTCCAAGGCTGCCCCCACCCCCAGATGCAGGAAGAGACCCAGGTTCTTTGCTCTGTCTCCTCCCCCTCCTCCTTGCTCAGTGCCAACCTGGGAAGGGCCAGCCCAACAGGCAGCCTGGCAGTGCTCGTCATGAGCCTGACCTGCTCATCCTCGCTTAGAGCAGGGCAGGACAGGGGCTTCCCCAAGACACACCACAGCCTCTCACTGGACAGAGATCTGGCCCGGGATAGACCCTGCTTATTTCTTGAGGGCCTCAGCATCCAGGTCATGGCCTGTGTCTTCCCAGGCCTCCCTGCAGGCTGATGGCTGACACTGAGAGTGCCTTCACTGTGCTGTGAACCAGAGCTCCTTTCTGGTCTGTCTGGGCTGAGGTGGAGGGAGTCAGGGCAGCCCCGCCTTAGACTAGCATCTTTGCAACCAAGCTCAGAGAGCACACCTGCTCTGGGCCTCTCGGACTTGCTGTCCTAACCCTGGGTGGCGGCCACACTGACACATTCCTGCCCCTCTCTAGGCCCTAGTCTCTGGCTAGTGAAACAGGGGAGAGGCCACAGAGCCGGGGAGAGAAAACACGAATTTGGGTTTTGGAGTCTGGCAGTACCTGGTTTGGAATCCTGACTGCTGCTTATAAGCTGTGCAACTCAGGCAAACTGCTGAGCTCATAGCTCATGGATACAGGGGCCAGGCTCAGTGAGGAGACGTCTACAAAGTCCCTTCTACGGTGCTTGGCACAAGTGGGGCTCCGTGAATGGGAAGCATCGTCCAAACAGCGCAGGGGAGTCCAAGTGAGCGCTTCCTGCCAGGAAACTCTGGCAGGTCATGCTTATGCGTGGTGCTCCTGGTTTCTGGGAAGGGGAGGGCCCGTGGTGTAAACCTCCGGGGAAGGTGAGTGGAAATCCCTGCAGAGCAGTGTGATGCTGCACTGGATGTGGGTGCAACACTCCCCTGCTGCCTGGTCCAGCCCACCTGGCCAGCTCCTCCTCCTCCTGTTTGCTTTGCTGCCTCCTCCCTTTGGCCAGCCTCCCCAGGAATGTCGGTTGCGGCGCCCTGGCTGCTGCACTAACGCCTCTTCAGGCGGCTGCATTGGGTAATGGGCTGGATGATGCTTGGTGGTCACTTTGGAGAAGGCAGCTGTGCCGCTCCGGCCCCGGGGGCCCCGGACCACCAGCGGTGCTCCCTTTGACTTGAGTCTCTTGTCTTCCCAGGCTATCCTTCCCTCATGCGGAGCCAAAGCCCCAAGGCCCAGCCCCAGACTTGGAAATCTGGCAAGCAGACTATGCTGGTAAGGGAAGTGCTGCCAGGAGGGCCTGGGCACATCCAGACACCTGGGCACTGAAGGGGGCTCCCTGGGGGCAACAGGTTCCAGGGCCTGTGGGAGATGATGACTTCTCTGGGCCATGGGGTAGAGAAGGAGGCAGCAGTGGCCTGAATACCTGCACAGCAGAGGGTAGTAGAGAGCCAGGGCTAATGGGCAGGGGACTGGCTAAGCACACACTGTCTGGACCTCAGTTTTCTGATCTATAAAGTGGGCAGCCTTGGGGTTTTTATTTGGCGAATGCTTGTTGGATGCCTATGCTGGTGGAATGACAGCTTGGGTTCTGCCAGCTTTGGGATTGTAAAACAGCCCAGCAGGAGGACAGGCCTCCTCCTAGAGATGGGTCCCACCTCCCTGGGGCAGTTCTCCAGTGCTGACAGCATAGAGGCCATTGGGGTGATAGTGTGGGGGTGGGAGAGGCTGGGAAGTTGGGAATAGATATATTTAGGTTCAGTATCTAATGACCCCAGGCCAGGGATATCAGAAGAGCAGCAAGACAGGGAAGCATGGCTTTGGGGTCCAGGCCACCTGCTGACTGTGGGGTCCTGGATAAGTTAGATACCCTCTCTGAGACACTTTCTTGCTTTTTATGATGTGGGGACTGAGATAACATCCAGTGCCCGTTAGATCTGACATAGCTGACCCTGACTGAGAGCTCAGTGATCAGGGACTATAGTTCACATGCAGAGCCCCCATGTGCCTGAATGCCTTGCTCCTGAAGGTCCATTCTAGGCCCTGCTACAGGAAGTCAGCCAGCTGCCGTGGCAAGTGGGTGGCATCAGGAGCTCTGCTGGAACCAGGGCCGGAGCCCTTGGCTCTTGCTGTCCTTGCAATTGGAGGTCAGAGCAGGAGAGGTGATTTGCCCTGGACCACAAAGAATGGCTGGGGATAGTTTAATTGGAGAGAATCTTTAATTGCTGGCGATGGGAGCTAAGTGATCGTGTGTGTAATTTGGAGCTGGGCCCAGGGGCATTGCAACAGCAGGACTGCAGAAAGCAGATATGGGGAGATAAAAGAAGGTTTCCGTTCTAGACTCAGTCCTTCCCCTCCCTACTACATACTTTTCCACCCTCTCAGAACCTGGGACCCTGAAGAGAAGGCTCATCAGCACTTTGAGGCCCCTGGCAGGGCAGGGTTCTGGTGTCCAGCAAGCAGCCAGCGCTGGGAGAGTGGAGGCAGGTGCTGGGGTGCAGAGAGGCTGAGCTGGGAATCAGTTTCCCTGGGGGCAGGCCCCAGCTGTCTCATTGACTTGCTGTGTGACCTTGCCTGAGGAAGAATGATTCCTTTGTGCCTCAGTTTTCCCATCTGTAATTAGGATGATTTCCTAGCTCTTCCAAGTGCCATATGTGCTGTGACCTCAAGCCAGGGAGGGGAAGGGAGGGTGAGGGGAGCAGTCTGCCCTGATGCCCACCTACCACTCTGGGCTTTTAACCAGACAATGCCGTTCATCGACCTGCAACCCATATTATTGACCCAGTCTTCCTCAAAGAAAGGCTTCAGCCATTTCCAAATCTATTCACTTTGCCCTGTGAATTGCTTGGGGTCCCGGCTGGCCCCTGGGGGTCCGGAGACCTAGTCCAGGCCCTGCTCTGCCAGTAATTAGCTGTTCTTTCCCCTCCCTGGGTCCCAGTTTCTTCCTTTGTTTAATAGGTGGTTTAAGCAAGGTCTGAGCATCCCTCAGGCCCACAAGTCCTGCTGTGGACCAGGCATAGGCAAGGAGCTGACCAGGAGGTGCCAGTTCTGTGGCAGACAGGGCCAAGGGCAGTGCACCCTTGGGGTGTGTGTATGAGGGGCAAATGATGTCTCCTGTATTGGGATCCGCAGGGCATGGGGGTGGGCTTAGCCTCTGACCCAGCTCAGGGACAAATCCTCTTCCTGAGACCCTCCAGGGACTGATGGTGCTCGCATGGGTGAGCAGCAGCTAAGCCGTGCTCTTCCACTCCATCCTGGAGGGCTGCCTCCTCAGGGCCCTGATGAAGTGATCTGGGCAGGGTGGGGCACGCTGATTTCATGAAATTACTGGGAGATACAATACCTGGAGAAGGCTGGGAGAGCTGTCACTGGACTCTCTCCAGAGATGCTCCCTGAATACCAATGGCTGGGGGAGGAGGAGCAGGACGAGAGAGGCAAAGGGCTGTGGGGAGCCTGGGACTGTGTTGGGTTGGGGCAGTTGTTTACCCTCTCTGCACCCCCTCTGTAAGGAAGATTTATGCAGAGAGAGCCAAAGAAAATCCTGGAAGCCCTCGCCATAAGAGAAGTGATGCCGAGAACTGGGGGCTGGGGGTGTGGGTTTTGGAGGCAGCCTGCTGGGACTTGGATTCCGGCTCCTTGCTTACCAGCTGAGTGACCTTGGGCAAGTTGCCTAGCTTCTCTGTGTCTTGGTTTGCTCAACTATAAAATGAATATGATAATAGTAATCTATGTAATTGGGTGGTTGTAAAAATTAAATGAGTGCATCCGCATATAGCCCTCGGCACAGTGCTATGAAGTTCCGTGGAGTAGAAAGTGTTATATAAATAGCAGCTGTGGTAGCGCTGGAGGAACCTCCTGAGCTGTGGAGAGAAATTTCGACCAGTGTGATGGGGGGCTGAGGTTCAAGCTCACCCGCTAACTATGGGAATGGACTCCAATTAGGATTCAAACCTGTAAATCCTGACATTAGGGACCAGCACCTGATCACAGGGTAGGTAGATCTTGCAGATCAGGCCAAAAGGCTCCTAGAATTGTCGGGGCTTGGATCACTGCTACCTCCTGGGGCAGGTTAGGATAGGGTGGATCTAGCTAGCGGGCTCATCTGTCATCTGGCCTTCCTGACCACTCTTGTTTTCCCCACAGTCTCACTACCGGCCATTCTACGTCAACAAAGGCAACGGGATTGGGTCCAACGAAGCCCCATGAGCTCCTGGCGGAAGGAATGAGGCGCCACACCCCTGCTCTTCCTTCTGACCCTGCTGCTCTTGCCTTCTAAGCTACTGTGCTTGTCTGGGTGGAAGGGAGCCTGGTCCTGCACCTGCCCTCTGCAGCCCTCTACCAGCCTCTCGGGGAGGTTCCGGCCTCTCCAACTTCCCCACTGGCCACACTCCATTCAGACTCCTTTCCTGCCTCATGACCTCAGGTGGTCAACATCATTCCTGTGCTCAGAGGCCAACGCATCACGGGGTGAGATAGGTGGGGCCTGCCCTAACCCACCACCCTCCTCCTCTCGGGCTGGATCTGGGGGCTAGCAGTGAGTACCCGCACGGTGTCAGCCTGCCTCTCCCGCCCACGCCCTGCTGTCTCCAGGCCTATAGACCTTTCTCTCCAAGGCCCCATCCCCCAGTGTTGCCAGCAGGTACCTGGACAACACAGTCACACATCTCCCTTTCATATGGCCCACCTCCTGCTTCCCAGAGGACTGGCCCTACGTGTTCTCTCTAGTCCTACCTATCAGTGTCCAGCGTGGCAGAACCTGCAGCCCTGGACCACTGCAGACGGAAACCTCTCAGTGTCTTGACATCGCCCTACCCAGGCAGTGGGTCTCCACCACAGCCACTTTGAGTCTGTGGTCCCTGGAGGGTGGCTTCTCCTGACTGGCAGGATGACCTTAGCCAAGATATTCCTCTCTTCCCTCTTCTGGGATAAATAATTCCCTTAACACGATATGATCCACCCATGAAAATAGCTACTGGCCCAGCTACCATTTCCCAGCTGCTGTACCATTTGCCTGTAGAATTTCATTCAGTTTATAATTTGGCATTCTCTCTGGCGATGGAGAGTGTGGCTGGGCTGGCTGCAAGGGATGCCTCACACACTGTCCCCACCCTTAGCCACTGCCCCGTCAGAGGCTGCCTCCTCCTTCTGATTACCACCCATGTTGCATATCAAGGTGCCCAGGGATTGGAGACGAGACAAAACCAGGAGCAGCACAGTGGGGCCCTCTCCCGTCTCAACAGCCCCAGGCCTGTGGGGACTCTGGAAGGATGGGTCAGCTTGCAGGGGTCGGGGAGGGAGACATCCAGCTTGGGCTTTCCCCTTTGGAATAAACCATTGATATGTCACTTCTCTTGTATTGAATGACCATTTCCCTGAGGGTCCCCAGGGGAACAGGCTGCATTCTTCTGAATGCACTTTTTCCCTCTGATGAGGACAGAGTCATCTTCCTGCTCTCCTCTTGCAGATGTGGCTCCTTTGAATCTCCCTTCACCTCCCTCACCCTGTCTGGGACACAGGGGTGCAGTGCAGGAGCCTGGGCCTTAGGGAGGCAGGCCTTGGCTGACAATGAACACAGAGAATGATGGTGGGTTGTGGGCCTGGGGATACGCTCAATACCTTCTGCCATGCTCAGACCTTCTGGCCAGCCCACCCCAGAGTTCCCAGGGGGAGAAAGGCCCAGGAGTGGCTGGGAGCCTGTAACCCCCAGCACTCTGGTGCTCAGACACAGGCTGGAGTGGAAGCCCACTGGAGGCTTCAGACCTGAGGGCCTTCTCAGTGCACAGAGGGCCTTCTCGGAAGGGGAGCTCACCTCTGAGGCTGGCAGGAGAGTCAGGCTCCTGAGGACAGCACCATCCTGGGCTTGGGGGATGGAGGAGAGGGAAAAGGCCATCCAGTCCCTGGAAACCCAGAGAGCCCTGGAAGGACAGTCAGGGAAGGCTTCCTGGAAGAGGTGAGCAAGCCAGAAGGAGGCATGGTGGTAGAGAGGGAAGAGGGTGCCAAACAACCACATTCTTTTCCCTGGTGTGGCAGGGACACCTGCGCCCCTCTGTTCTCACTGTTCTTCCTCACTCTGCTCCCCACCAGGGGCCAGGTGACACGAGGGGAGCAGTCCCTCTGTCCTAGTGAGAGTCCCTAAGTGAGCTGGCTGCCGGTCCATTGTGGAGGGACAGCACTCTTCCTTCCTCCTTTCTGCCTTCCTGGGCTAGGGAGCTTTGGGAACCAAGCAGCCATGCGTGCCAGGAAGGGGCTCTTGGGAATGAGAAAGGGAGGGAGAAGTGGCTGAGAAGAGAGAGACAGAGGAGACAAGAGGGTAAGGGTGAGAAAAGAAAGGAGGGAGAAGGGGCCAAGTGAGTCCGTGGAGGACCGTCCAGCACTGTCAGGAAGATGGACCACAAGTCGGACCTGTATGCTTGGCCACCTGCATGGTGCTCTCCCTTGGGAGCTGGGACTGCAGAGTGTCCCTGGGGTCAGCTGCCGCTCCCTACAGCCCCTGCCCTGGGTGCTGGTTCCCTCAATCTCTCTTCTGAGAAGCATCCCTACCTGGTGCCCCAGCAGGTCCACCTCTGTGGGCACCGTGCCCTGCAGCCTCCTGGCCCTTCTTGAGGACCCTGGGGTTGTGATAAGGGCCCATTCCTGGGCTCCAGAGGTGCCTGGACTCTCAGAAAGACCCTGGCCACAAGAGGCTCACAGTTCTCCAGGCCCTGCCCTAAGCCCACCAGCTCCAGAGGAAGGGAACTGGATGGGACCCAGGTCTGGCTAAATTCCCCTGTGGGGGCAGCTGGGCCCTTGCCTGTCCTGTGCCTGGACCGCATCAGGGGCTGCACCTGCTGCACAGAGGCTGGCTGGTGGGACGTTGGGAAGACCGCTGTGTTGGGAGGCCCAGGGCTGTGCTGGGAACTGGGTGGGGACGTCGCCAAGCATCATACTCTCCCCATCAATCCCCACCAGGTCCATTATCGTCTGAGCTGTGATTATAAAGCAATCAGGGAAATCCTTTCTTCTCAGTTCTTGAGAATGCCTCTGTCCCCAGCATGAGTGAGAATAGGAGGATTACTCCAGGCCTCGAGTGGCTCAGGGGAGGGGAGAGAAAGGAGGGGGGCAAGGCTCTATGTCCACTTCTGTTCCTCTCAGACCGAGGCAGTGTCCTGGCCCATGCTCCCCTGTCTCCTGCCCTCTCCCAGCTCTGGGCGTTGGGCGATTCTCAGAGGTGTGGGTAGCCTGCTGGCAGATAAGTGAGGAGGGAGGCAGCAGAGGGGCTCAGCAGGGAGCTCTGGCTGGGTAGTTGGGAGCCCTGAGTCTCATCCAGGCTCTGTCGCTTGGCTGTGTGATCTGGGCAAACTGCTTGCCCTTTCTGGGTCTGACCTTCTTGATCTACAAAATGAGGTGTATTCATTGGGTCCTTTCTGGGGTTCTTGCCCAGCTCCAACAGCCTGTGAGTTGGAGACCACAGCGAAAGGAGAGTTGGAAGGGACAGGAACATTGAGCTTGGTCCCAGGTTGGGAATCCACCATCAGGCCTGGGCCGATAGCCAGGCAGGTTGGACTCCCAAATCCCCAAGGCTCCCTGTACCCAGTCCCCTGCCTCTCCTTTCCTTTAGACCCTGTCAGGGCCAAGGGTCCCCATCTGAGAAGCCTTCTCTGTCCAGGAGGGAGGGAGGAAGACTGGAGACCCAGGAGCTTCTGAGCTCTGCTCTGGGCCTCAGGACCTGCTGGAATGTGGACTCGATGATAGCAGGGATTATTCCATCATGGTGTCCTAGAACAGTGCTTGGCACATGGACGAGCCTTGGAGGCTAAGAAGCAGTTAACTGGGAGGAGGAAGTGGGAGAGGAAGGTGAAAAAATCAAAAGGGGAGCTGGAAGACATCCAATGAGGGGTGCCTGGTGCATTTCATTGTGTGGAGAGCTGAGGCATGGGTTTCTGAGGGCAGTGCTTGGAGCTGCAGCCACACTCTCAGGGCCAGAATCCTGGCTGCACTGCCCATCAGCTGTAAGCCCAGGGCCAAGCTGCCCACTCTGTCTGAGCTTCAGTGCAGGTACTGCAAAGTACCTGGCTTAGCAAGGGCCCAACAGTTGAGAGATTATGTTATGATTATTGTGGAATTAACAACAAAGATAATGACGACATTTCAACCTGGGATGAAGCTTGATTTCCCCTCTTTTTGGCCTTCTACACTTGGTGGAGAGTCACAGGGTGGAAGCTGCTGGGCCCAGCCCTAGGACCCGCACCAGGGCTCCTGCAGTTCTGGGGTACGGCCGGCAGGTGACAGCATTTCACTGCAGTGAGTGGGCGCCAAACTCCTGCTCCAGCCCGGGCCGTCAGGACTGGGTCCCAGGGCCCTTCCACAAGGTGAGCGTCTCTCTCTCTCCTCCTTCTCCCACTTCTATATTGGCTGACTAGACCCTTCTGTCCTAGCCTGTAGAATATGTGACCCCAGGAAAGCAGTCCCCTGGTCTGAGTAGGAGATAGGGGCTTACTGCTCACCCCACCAGACCTTGCCTGAGTTGGCATGGAATTCTGCAGAAGGGGCAGGCTCCCCTTATGTGGGCCCCACCTTTGGGTTCCCTCTGCAGGTAGCTGGCCTGAGGAGGGGGCTGGGTGGGCACAGCAGGCTCAGTTCTGTAGCCCCCAAAGAGGACTTGCATGAGTCAGACAGGGCTCTACACAAGGCAGCTCTTGGTGAAGAGTGAGACAGAAAGCCAGAGTCCTCAAAGTCCAAGGGAGAGGAGACACTGAGAGGCTGCGAACTGCAGAGCTGCCTGACTCTTGTCCCCCTGCCATGTCCTAGCTATGACATGGGGACCTTTGTCCCTGCCTCCTGATGGACCATGGAGAGAGGTCAGAAGGGTAACAAGTGGGACCCCAGGAATGCCTGTCCAGAGGGGTGGGGGCTGGATGGCTGAGGCAGGGCCAGCTCGTATCCCACCTGCCTTTCCCACCAAACCCTCAAATCACCTCCCAAGAGTGGCCCAGGCAGTTTTATCTTTCTGAGTATTGACTATTAAGTTTGAAAATGAACTGTTGTTCAGCCACAGAAACAAGGGAGATAAACACTAATTGCTTGGTGAAGGTGCCAACTCCTGGCTCCTAATTCATCACCTAGCCAAGACGAGGCTAAGAAGAGGCAAAGGAGTGGGGAGGGGGTGAGGAAACTTGGGAACCAACAGACTCTCTTGCAAGACATGGCAGTGGATGGATGACCTCAACCCAGGGGATAAGGATGGTGCCCGGGATCCCTGAAGCTCCCCAGGAAGGACAGGGAGCCAGGTGAGGGAGGGAGGAGAGGTCTTTGACTGGGCTTATCATTTTCAATACATTCATCCCAAGTGGACATATAATGTGTTCCCTTGTTGGCCTTGAGGTTGGCTCTGATTAGCAAATTCTGTATTTCTCTGAGGTTGGTTCCATTATCATGTTAAGATCCTCAACTGACTGAATTGAGGGGCTGCAAGCCTTGTTACTGATTGGTAACTTGCAGGATTCAGGTCTGGCTGTGGAAGGTGGAGCCCTGAGAGCTTGTCTGAAAAGGAGGCGCCATATTCTTTGAGGGTGAGGTGTGGGTCTTTGATGGTTCAGGTGTGGACCTGCCTGGAGCGGGGACTGCACTAGGTGTCCTGATGGCAAGACTGGGGGCATTGCATAGGCCCAGGGGAGAGAGAGGAGCACAGATATCTGATGAGGAGCAGGAATGGAGTTGTGGCTTGGGGGAGGCCTGCATTCATTCAGATCTTTGTGTTGGATGAAGATCTAAGCACAAGATACAGGAGACACAAGCTGCCGCTCTGCATGAATTCGCAAGACTGGGCCTGTGAGCTGATCCAGAAGGTGATTGGAGTGTGCAGGGCCCAAAACAGGGTGACGAGGAGGCGTGTCCCCTGAGGAGGGGTCAGCTGTGCTGGGAGTGGGTTGAGAAGATCTGGGGGGACCAGAGGGATCTGACTTGGACAGTGAGTTTTGCGTGTGTGAGAAAGGCAGGGCTGGATCACGCCGTACTACATAGGGGCTGAGCTTTACCGTAAACATAGGGCCACCCCCATGGGAGAGTGAGTAATCAGATCAGTGCTCTAAGAAGAGGACTCAGGAATGAACCGAGGTGAAGCAAGAGTAGAGGCCCAGGTGCGCTATGCCGGTGACTTGAGATATTGTTGATGGGACCAACTGTGGCAGGTGGAGATGCTGGTGGCATTGCAGGTGCAGGAGCAAGCAAAGACACAAGCAGGTTGTGCAGAGGATGCAGGGGTTTAGGAAACGGGTGAGAGCTGAGGGCCAGTGGGTGGAGGAGGGGAGTTAGAGAGTAGGTCCTGGTTGCAGGAGTGCTAATGCCAGAGAGGGAGGCTGCAGCACGG